GTGGGGCTTCACTATGACTGGGAGCCTGGGGGACAGGTGTTGTGGGTGATAGGGTTTGCCCATGCTGTCTGTGCCCCTTATGTTTGCAGCAAGCTTGTGAGATGGTGATGGACATCCTCCGAGAACGTGACCAAGGAGGCTTTGGGGATCGAAATGAGTATGGATCCCGGATTGGTGGGGGAATTGATGTGAGTACAAGACTACCCCAGGAGATAGAGGACCGGGAGATAGGCAGAGGGTGACAGCTGCAAGAGATGGACTTGGGCTGACCCTGTACTTTCCGCTCTTCCAGGTGCCTGTGCCCAGGCATTCTGTTGGGGTGGTCATTGGCCGGAGTGGAGAAATGATCAAGAAGATTCAGAATGATGCTGGTGTGCGGATACAGTTCAAGCAAGGTCAGGGCTGAGTCTGCCATTGGTGTGGGTGGGTTGGCGGGCACCTCCTCTTAGGATCAGTCAGGGGCCTGTGACAACCAGTCATGTCCCTGCACCCACTCCAAGCCTGCCAGTTGCCCTCCCTGGGAGGCAGACCCTGAGGCAGCATGGCACTGTGGTTAGGCTTTAGCCCTTGAGAGGGCCTTCTTGCTACTGGTCCAGCCATCAGGACATGCCTTATCCTCTTCCCTTTTCTAGAAACAGCCATGTGAGAGTTGGCCAGGGTGTGGTCTTTCCATGGGAAATATGTTTTCCTGTACCCATCAAATCCACTAGGGCAGCCTGGGGGTACCCAGGCGCTAGGTCAGATGACTACCCTTATCTAAGCTCTTGACACCTCAATATAGGCAGAGGGACCCCCCCTCCATTGTTTTTTGGGTTTTTGTCGTTTGTTTTAAGAGATTATACTATAAAACAACTCAGCTGATACCCTAGCTTCTACCCTGAGAGTAGTTCTTCCTCTTTCCTAGTCCCAGAGGAAGTAGGATTTGGGGGTCCCTTTTGAGAGACTTCACAGATGTTTGGCTTGGCATAGTATTTACCCTGAAGAGGCAATGTTGCAGGGGTTTGGAGTTTTGCTTTTCTTTTAAATCAGTCTCTCTGCTCTCTTGGTGCTGGCCTCAGATGACGGGACGGGACCTGAAAAGATCGCTCACATCATGGGTCCCCCAGACAGATGTGAGCATGCTGCCCGGATTATCAATGATCTCCTCCAGAGCCTCAGGGTAGGTGGCTTGGGAGTACTGAGTGGGCTGGGGAGGCCAGGAGCAGGCTTGCCTAGCCACCCCAGGAGAGTTTAGAACCAGGCAGACTTCCTGGTTCATCCTCCTCCTCCCTGTCTGGCAGAGTGGTCCCCCGGGCCCTCCTGGGGGCCCTGGCATGCCCCCCGGGGGCCGGGGCCGAGGACGAGGCCAAGGCAGCTGGGGCCCTCCTGGTGGGGAGATGACCTTCTCCATTCCCACCCACAAATGTGGGCTGGTCATTGGCAGAGGTAAGTAGCCCTGTACACCCTCCACCCCTGCCCTGTGCCCTGCCCCATGCCCTGCCCGCTCAATTTGATTGGCTTTGGCTCTCCACAGGCGGCGAGAATGTGAAAGCCATAAACCAACAAACGGGCGCCTTTGTGGAGATCTCTCGGCAGCTGCCACCCAATGGAGACCCCAACTTCAAACTGTTCATCATCCGGGGCTCACCCCAGCAGATTGACCATGCCAAGCAGCTCATTGAGGAAAAGATTGAGGTGGGCTCCTGGAGGGATCTGTGAGTGTGGGTCTATACCATTCTCCCCACCCACCGATCACCTCACCTGCCTCTTCCTTTCAGGGTCCGCTCTGCCCAGTTGGACCAGGCCCTGGGGGACCAGGCCCTGCTGGCCCCATGGGGCCCTTCAACCCTGGGCCCTTCAATCAGGGGCCACCAGGGGCTCCCCCACAGTGAGTAATCCTCTCAGCCTCTTGGGATTTGGGGGCATGGGGTTGCTGGCCTGAAGAGGACAGGCCCTATTTCCATTCCCACTAAGAAGCCTGCTGCCACATCTCAGATGCTCATTGTCAGGCCTGATGCAGCCTGTTTTATAGATGCCACATAGAAGCAGTATGACTGCTTGCCTTGGCGTCTTCCTCATGCATGTGCTCAGATGTTCTGTGTGTGTTGAGTCTTGAGGACTTCTGTTTCGTGTCCTTGAGCCAGCATGATTGTTAGTGTCCTTTGCCCTTTGTGTTGCTAGTTGACTGCTCTGCCCACATGCCCTGTTAAGTGTGATGGTCAGGGCCTCTGACCTGCTGACTGCCTGCACGCATCCCTGCCCAATGCTGATGGCTGTGGCCACCGCACCTCAGCTTATTGTATTCCCTCTTGTCTTTCAGTGCTGGTGGCCCCCCTCCTCACCAGTACCCGCCCCAAGGCTGGGGCAATACCTATCCCCAATGGCAACCGCCTGCTCCTCATGACCCAAGTAAGTGGTATACTGCACAGGGGAGGCTGGGGCCAGGCTGCCGTGCCCCTTCCTCATCCTGGACTCCCCTTTTGCCTGCAGATAAGGCTGCTGCAGCAGCTGCAGACCCCAACGCCGCCTGGGCCGCCTACTACTCACACTACTACCAGCAGCCCCCAGGCCCTGTTCCTGGCCCCGCCCCGGCTCCTGCAGCACCGCCCACTCAGGGGGAGCCTCCGCAGCCCCCACCCACTGGCCAATCAGACTACACTAAGGCCTGGGAAGAGTATTACAAAAAGATAGGTGAGTCTGTAGTGCAGCTGGGGTGGTTCCAGGCCCACCCAGGAAGGGCATCCTCTGACCTCACTTGGCCCCCACAGGCCAGCAGCCCCAGCAGCCCGGAGCACCCCCGCAGCAAGACTACACGAAGGCCTGGGAGGAGTACTACAAGAAGCAAGGTGAGCTGGCACTGGAGGGCTGGGTGGGGATGTAGGGGACAAGTGCCTAGCTCTCCCACAGCCACTTACCCTCCTCCACCTCCAGCGCAAGTGGCCACCGGAGGGGGTCCCGGAGCACCCCCAGGATCCCAGCCAGACTATAGTGCCGCCTGGGCGGAGTATTACAGACAGCAGGCCGCTTACTACGGACAGACTCCAGGTCCTGGTGGCCCCCAGCCGCCTCCCACCCAGCAGGGACAGCAGCAGGCAAGTGGGAATTGCCACCCTCCTCCTCCTCCTTTCTCCTTCCAACCCCCGGCCACCGTCCATCCTGCCTTAGTGGGTAGCGCCGGAAACCCCTTCCCCTGCGGGGTGTGCCCTTGATGCCTGCAGCGGGGCCGTGTGGCAGAGGTCTCCGGGAGTGCCCACGCGCCCGCCGGGAAGCGCACTCTGGGTCCAGAGGTTAACGAAGAGGCCTCCCTCCGCCAGCTGCTTGTTCCTGTGTAATGCTGTCGCGATGCTGGGGGAGCGCGAATCACACAAAGGTGGAACTTGTGAACTGGTGGGTAGTCCTGGGGGTGGGGGACAAGCAAGCAGCACCCGTGTTGGTCGCCATCCCGGCTGCTAACCCACTCACTCAAAATCTGGCCATTTGGGAAGAAAGTGTCTATTTTTTCCCCCCCTCTGCATCACTTTTTTTGGTTCTTGTTCTTTTTATTCTTTTATTTTTTTAAGCCAAGATCTTTATCCTGTGTCCAAGTGACTGTTGCAGGCAGCCCTGGTTCTGGCGGGGATGAGGGGAGCCAGGAGCCCGCCGAGAGGGTTAGGGGTACTGTTCAGCCTCCTCCGCTCTCGCGCTCGCCTCTGTGTCCCGGTCTTGTCTGTGAAGTGGGCATGACGATCGTTGCCACCTTCCAACCTACCTCACAGGGGTGTTGTGGGGACACCGTGATCTCTGATTGTTAATGTTGTGATGCGCCGGGAGCCCGCCCCCTCTTCCTTCCTTCCTTCAGACAGGACATGCTCCTCCCTGCCCTGCGCCTCTCTGCCTCTGCTTCTCTCTTGCTGCGTGTCCTCCTCTCTCCTCCGTCAAGGAGCAGTCTTGACTCCAGCGAGTCCTGTGAGGCTAGACTCACTCACCTCCGTCCTCCCTCCCTTCCACCTGAGCCAGCTGCAGGTTTGGGAGCGGCTTCCCGGCCCCTCCCACCCCGCGTGGGTGTTCCAGCCTTTCCAGCCTCCTCGACACCCCCAGTCCCTGCTCCCCCTCCCCGTAGTGACCAATTCCTATCTCTTCCCTCTCCGCAGGCTCAATGAATCGAATGAATGTGAACTTCTTCATCTGTGAAAAATCTTTATTTTTTTTTTCTCCATTTTGTTCTGTTTGGGGCTTTTTGTTTGTTTTATATTTCATTTGTTTGGCGCTAGAGCGATGGCCGCCGTGGGGGTGCCGGGGAGCCCTCGCGGTGAGTGGCCGAGGTGGCGGCACAGGCTGCCAGGCTCTCGCTCTCTCGCTCCTTCTGTGTGTCTCATACTCTTCCTTTCAAAATTGGGATACTTCACGTTGAGCCAGCCTTAGAAGATAGCGAGAATTAAATCTCTGCCAAAAAGAAATTTTAAAAATTAAAAACAAAGAGCAGAACAAAACCTATAAAATGATATATAAATATATATATATAAATCTCTATACCCCCCAGCCTTCCTGAAACCGCCTGAGGGTAAAGTGATCATTTTCTCCCTACTGCCCGTGGCCCTCTTCTTGTTTTTAAAATAAACTTTTAAAAAGGAAAAAAAAAAAGTCATTCTTGCTTTTTTCTTGTTTTTTTTCCTTTTTTTTTTTTTAGTTAGAGTTGGAACATTCCTTGGACCAGGTGTTGTATTGCAGGACCCCTCCCACCCCGCCTCTCTCTCCTCCTCTCGCTCCTCTTCCTCCCTTAGCTCAGCCGCACGCCCCCCCCCCCCCCCCCACCCAGGACTGGTCTGGTCTTTTGTCTTTTCATCTGTTCAAGAGGAGATTGAAACTGAAAACAAAATGAGAACAAAACAAAAAAAATTGTATGGCAGTTTTTACTTTTTATCGCTCGTTTTTAACTTCACAAATAAATGATAACAAAACCTCCCTGTGTCTGCCGGGTGCTGTCTGTCTGTCTCCCTCTCCTCTCTCCTCCCTGTAGGATTTTGAAGCAGATGTTTGTTCTTTATAGATGTTTAAAAAAAAAAATGGAAATGGTGATTGGAAATTACAAGCTTTGTGTTGTGTGTTTTTTTAAGAAAACCAAAATATAAAATAGTTTTTTGCAGGTGCACTGTGCTTTCTTATCCCCTTCCCTTTTTTTCTTTTTGTTAAATAAACTGCTTTTTGTTAAAAAGAAAAAACTGCATGTCGACTGCAGTTATGTTTGAGGAGAAACAAGGTTTAACCCAAGGGAGTGGGGTATGGTCCCCAAAGACTGCCCTTCACCTATGGAAAGGGGACAGTGGCTGAGTCCTAGCAGGGCAGTCTTCTGTCCCTGTTTTTCCCTCTGGGAACTTGGGGACCAAAGCACCCTCCAGGGACGAGTGTTCCCATGGATGCAACCATCACTACAAGGTCTTGGGCTGTGCCTGTGTCTCACAGGAGTGGCCCAGCTTGTCCTGGGCCTGGCTTTGATCTGTTCTGACAGAGCCTGGGGTGGAGTTCTGGCTTGTGCCACTGCTCACTGAGGCACCTGGATGGCAGAGGGCACCAGGAACCACTCAACCTATCTGGCCCAAGGCGGACAGCTGGCAGGTCTGAGGTTATGGTTGAATACTAACATACACAAATCAGGTTTCATAATCAAAATGTAATGGCCTGGGTCCACTGGCCAGGCTGACCACACCAAGCAGGAGCTCACCCTTGACCAGATATGATGGGTACCTACCTACCCCCACTGAAAGGGCCTGGGGGGGAGGATTTGCTCAGGGCATGGCTACCTGGGTCCCTGGTAGATGTCTCAGGCGCCACACCCCTCTTGAGTCCTGTACAGGCTCTGGGATGGGGGCAAGCCCAAGCCCCCAGCCCCTCCTGGCTCACCACAGACTTTCAATGACAGAGCAACACTTGGCAAAAATGTTCTCTGGAGCTTCTTCTGCCGATATCTAGAAAAGGGGGAGCCCAAGGGTCAGATGTAAGCCCTACAGCAGGGACACTGCCCCCCACCCTCAGATCAGCATGGGACACCAGCAGATTTGCAGGCCCACGTGCTAGCTACCCCAAGGCCGAGCAACAAAGCAAGAGAGGAATGAGACGGGGTAGGAAATTCTGTCCCTTGGCCCAGTCCAGGAGGACAAGTGATGCAAGAATGGCCCTCTGTCCATCCCATTCCAGCTAAAGGTGGACCTTGAGGTGCTGAACTTGAGCCTTGGCTGGTGGGGGAAGGTGACATTTCTCAGGCTTCTGACAGGGACAAGGACATACATGGTCAGAGTCCTTGCATCTTCCTTACAGTGAAAAGTACAGGAGCCAGGTGGGTCCTGTAAACTGGGACCCCGGGCATGCAAGGGAATGGCACTGGGGTTTTTCACAATATTTTGGAGCCTATTACACATTTATGTGCCCCACACAGCCTGTGCTCAATGGAGGAAAGATCCAGGGTGGATGTTGGGTAACCAAGGCCAGCCCCAGTGCCACACTGAACTGGTCAAACTGGACTCACTCCTAAGAAGTGTGACTGACCAGTGGGGAGTTAACCTACATTTCGCAGCAGTTTCTTCTGTTGGTAGAAGGTCAAGACAGGCTCGCACAAGGTGTAATAGGTTGCCAGGTGACGGAACATGACCACTTCACAGTCTTCTGCCCTGTGCTCCACCTGGCCCCGGTGCAGCACCCGCTGGACCATGGTCTGCATGGAACAGTCAAACGCGATGACAATGTCGGGAGCCCGACCCACCTAGGCACCAACCAAGGGGACTGGATGAGGAAGGGGCCTTGGGCACCAGTTCTCCCAGAGACCAGGAGTGTGGTAAATATCAGGCCTCCCTAGTCTCTTACTTAATTCAAGTTCTGGGTACTTATTTTTCGGAGAGCTGCGTCAATTACATTCACAGAGCTCCTGAGCCACACAAGGCACATGAGAGACTGGGTCTTGCCATCCTACCTACCCAGATCCACCCTCCCTGGAGGCAGTGAGGACATCTACTCTTGGCTCTCCTGCTAGAATGACCTTAGAGTGTATAGTACAAACAACTATGGCTCTGGTATTCTTTTCCTCCTTTTTTATGCAAGTGGTAAAAACATGATTTACCCATGACTTCACTCAGTAAAGATGACTCCATATCAGCACATATATCATTTCCTGACTGTCTATGAACACTTGCAGTTGTCCTTCAATATCACCAGGGGACTGACTCCAAGACTCCCCACAGGTATCAGAATCTTGGATACCCAAGTCTCTCTTTGCCTAGAATCTACATACATTCTCCTGTAGACTTTGTGTGTGTGTTATACTGGGATTGAACTCAAGGGCACTCTCCCATTGAGCTACGCCTTGCCCCACCCTTTTTATTTTTTGAAACCAGGTCTTGCAAAGTTGCTGAGGCTGGCCTTGAACTTGCATCCTCCTGCCTCAACCTTTTGAGTTACTCGATTATAAGCAGGTGCCAAGTGCCTGGCCACCCCGGCAGAGTTTAAAATCATTTCCAAATGACTTGTAATATCTAATGCAATGTAAATGCTGACCCACTGGGATTATAGGTGTGTGCCACTGCACCCGGCCCAGATACAATTTATTTATTTATTTTTTAATATTTGTGATCAGTGGTTGGTTGACTCCACAGTGGCGGGACCCATGGATGTGGAACTGGCAGATACAAAGAGTTGCCCCTATGTTATAAAGGAGCCAAGTCTTCCTAAATTAGTTGATAATTTAAATGTGATAAGAACAAGTTGATTTTCACATTCATGTACAAGAAGAAACCAGCAGAAATGGCCAGGAGATGCTTGGAAGAGAAAAGAAATAATAGGTGGTGGAAGTAGGGGAGGGGTATTGAACCCTCGAACCCTCCTAGACATTAAAACGTCATAAAGCCTCTCTAACAGCAGCACACAACCAGATAAATGGACCCCTGGAACAAAACAAAGAACAGAAATAGATCCAAGTGAATATAGCAACTTGGCATATGGCTAGGATGATATCCTAAGTCAGTGGAAAAGAGATGGACTTTTAAATAAATGATGTTGGGATAACTGGTTAGCAACTCAGAAGAAGCTGAAATCAGCTCCTTCCCTCACTGTCGGAAATCGCCTCAACAAATAAATGGTAAATGTGAGAAATAAAACCATATGAGAACTAGACAAAAACAACATGGAAAAATCACCTTATAACCTGAGAGCGAAGTAAATTACAGTCAAAATCCAGGAACAATAATGGTAAAGATTGATAAATGTGATGAACATTTGAAAACAACGTGCATTAGCCAGAGTAGGCTTGGCACTTGGGAGGCTGAAGCAGGGGATAACCTGAATCCAAGAGCTGGGCTGGGTGACTAGCCTGGCAACAAGTGAGAAGGAGCGGGACAAGGCGAGATGAGGAGGGAGAGAAGGAGTGAGGAAATACAGCTCGCTTCACAAAAAAATAAATTACACACACACACGTTAAAAGATAACTGACAAATTGAGAAAAAATATCTGCAAGCCATATCACAAAGAACTAGCACCACTGATACACAAAGACCTCCTGAGAGTCAACAGGAAGCTGATGCAGTGGCACATGCCTATAATCTCAGTGGCTCCAGAGGCTGAGGCAGGAGTATCACAAATTCAAAGTCAGCCTCAGCAACTTAGGACCTGTCCCCCCTCCAAAGAAATCTCTAAAAGTGCTGGGGATGTGCCTCAATAGTTAAACACTTTTGAGTCAATCCCTGGCACACACATACACACACACAAAAAAAAAATCAACAAGAAAAATGGCAACAATTATTTGAAGAAAAATAAAATGTACAGAGGGAATTCAAAGAAGTGGCCTTTAAACTTTGGAAAGATACTTAAACTTAGATAAACACCCGATAAATCTGCACTGAAATATCATTTCTCAGTTAAGCAGATTGACAAAAATCCAAGATTCTGGCAGCATCTTTTGTTGGTGTGGCTGTGAGGACACAGGCACTCTGACAAATTGCTGATACCAATGTAAAATGAAGAGCCGCTTGACAGTTTCCAGCAAGAGTCCGTTTCAAAGATAGTAGTGAAATTAGAAAGTGACGTTCAAAATATGGTGGCATGGTTTTGGAGGCAAAAGATGGAAACAATGGAAGGCCACAGGAGACTAACTGAACACATGCTGGCCCAGCCACACAATGGACCACTACAAGTTCATAAGAAGATCTCCTGACACTGACATGCCATCTTGGAGATGAGGAAACACTGGAAGTGGGGAATCGGGGGAAAGGGAAGTATACACAGAACGATGTGGTGGGACACACACACCCCTACTTTATTTCCAAGTGCCACAAGAACCCAAGAGCTGCTGAAAAGGGTGGCCTATGGGAGGAGGAGGGCAGGTCTCTCAGGAGTGTCTTTATGTGGCTCTGTTTTGGAAGCATGAAATGATTTCTCAGTTCAAAAATTAGATTTTAGGAACAGCTCAGCAGTAGAGCTCATACTAGCATGCACACAGAAAACGAATAAGTAAAATAAAATAAATATTTAGCATGCACAAGGCCTTAATTTTGATCCCCAGTTCCATCAATAAGTAAATGATAAAAATCTAAAACTAAAAAAGCAGTCCCTAACTATAAAAAGCCAAACTGAAACAAATGAGCCCAATTGTGTCTCAATTTCATCACACAATTACACACAGAGAAAATCATTTTTTCAAGTGACCTGGTATTTTTATTGTACGTACGTAGGGGGATATATTATAAGGAAAAGTAAAGAAAGCTTCAGTAGTTTTATTCTTAGGGGAAAAAAAATTGGTGGTACCGGGGACTGAATCCAGGGGCACTTTACCACTGACCTATGTATCCCCAGACTTAGCTTTACTTTTTATTTTGAGACAGGTCCCACTAAGTTGCTGAGGCTTGCAATCCTCCTGCCTCAGCCTCCCAAGTTGCTGGGATGACAGGTGTGCACCACTGCGCCAACTTTAGTAGTTAATAATGACATGTTGTTTTGAAGCTATTTTGTATCTCATGAAATAATGCAAACGAGAGTACACTGATAGTATTAGCAACCAGAATTTTTAGTGAAAGGGAAGAGAGAAATAAAAGCACTGTAAATGTTACATGTGAACTGTCAAGATCAGTGTGGACTTATATTTTTCTTTTCAAAAGCACATGTTCTGACCTGAGGAACGGCTCAGTGGCAGAGGACTTGGTTAGCACCAGAAGACCCTGAGTTCAAGAAGACCATGGGTTCATTCCCAGCTCCATAAAACAAAAAGAAAGTACAAGTTTCTTTGCTCTGTCTGCTGTTGGCTGGAAACAACCAGCAGCAACAGGTGCTCTCTGCACTCAAACTGTGCACCACTTAAAAAGGGCCTCCTGAGGAGTGGACTACTGGGGATTGGGCAGGAAGAGTGTCAGGGAGTCCTGCGTGTTTCAGAGTCCTGTGCCAGAAAGCAAAGCAACGTTCAACAGGAAGAGGTCGCCAGTGTCAGTGGGAAGGGGCTCCTCTAGGCCAAACATGTGATCAACCTAGCATCAGAAAGATAACTGCACAAATAAATTATAAATAAATAAATACAGATAGAAAAGAAAGATAACTGCAGCTGACAGACACATTTAATAGGGACAGTTGTCCCTTGGTATCTATGGGGGATTGATTCCAGGAACCCAGCAGATACCAAAATCGAAGAAGCTCAAATCCCTTACATAAAATGGCACAGTATTGCGCAGAGCCTACACGTCCTCCCACAGGTTTTAATCGTCTCCAGCTGACTTAGGACACATACCACGATGTCAACACTGTCAGAGACGCTAGGCTGGTGTTTAGGGAACCCCGACAAGACAGTCTGCATGTTTTCAGCACAGAAGCCACATTTCCCCAGTTCCGGGGACTGAACCCAGGGGCCCAGGCACAGCCACACCCCCCAGCCCTTTCTATTTTTCACGTTGAGACAAAAGCCTCACTGAGTTGCCCAGGCTGCCTAGAGCGTGGTCCTCTACCTCAGTCTCGAGTGCCATCACACCCAGCAAGAGGCGATGTTTAAAATGAATGCCTTCCATCTGCAGCTGCTTGAATCCATGGATGAGGGACCCACAGATAGGAGGGCCAACTGTGCATGAAGAGCCCGGAGTTCACCGTGAGCGAGAAAGCAGGGCGGAGGGCAACAGGACAAGGGGTCCTATGCCGCATGGGGGCAGGGCTTGGACCCGAGTCCTGTCTGCCGTGGCAGGCCTAGTGTCAGGCATCTATCCCGGCTTTCTCCTAGGAGCATGGTTTCAGGATAACCAGAAAGTAGTTGAGGAAGGAAACGTTCTTCATTAGGGAAGAATTCCAATACGGAAATATGGGGAAACTGGCCAGAAGGGAAAACTTAGCATTTAGCAACATTTAATTAAATAAATAATTCAGCTTAGCAACAGATGAGACCAGATGGGCGTTTTGCAACAGTAACTACGTGACCCCTCCTGGGTTTCCAGCGCTGTCTTGAAAAAGTAGCAAGGGGGATCTAATGACACAGACAAGAGAACCTGAGGCTCCCACAGTTCTGGAGGCTGGAAGTCCAAGGTCACAGTGTCTGCAGGGCTGCTTTCTCCCGGGTCCTCTCTGTGACTTCTAGAGGTCGTCTTCTCCCTGTGTTCCCACATGGTCGTCCTTCTGTGTCCTTCTCATAGGGACTGTCCTGGTAATGGATTAGGCCCTCACTAATGAGCCTGTCAAAGACCCTATTTCCAAATACAGAAGACACATTCCGAGGTCTTAGGGCTTAGAATTTTTACTTTTATTTATTTCATTTATTGTTTGTGTATGTGCGCACATGGACATGCTTGGGATGGAACTAGGACCTCATACTTGGTAGATGAGCGCTCTATCACTGAGCCCCACCCCAGCCCCAGGTCTTTCTCTTTTTCGGTGCTAGGAATTGAACCCAGAGGGTCTCTACTACTGAGCTACACCCCCAGCCCTTATTATATTTTTATTTTGAGACTGGGTCTCACTAAGTTACCCACGCTGGCCTTGAACCTGCAGTCCCCCTGCTCAGCCTCACCAAGCCACTGGATGACAGGTGGCCCCCACTCCCTGCTGAGAGACAAAATTCAGCTCCCAACAGACTCCTTCCTAAGAAGGGGCCGTCAGGCATCCAGGAGCCTCCTGACACGTTGCAGAGCAATGCTGTGCTGATCACAGGCTCCTCCACGGCCTGGCCGGCAAGCGCTGAAGAGCTGGACTGCGCGGAGACAGACAGAATGCCCCACCACCGCCGCCAGAACACAGCAGAAAAGGACCTGTGCCAGCCCACATGAGCCTGGTTTGGGTCTGTTCGTTTTTCCATTGCTGTTGTTCTGGATTGGCTTTGGTCTGGCTGCTGGGATGGACCCCAGGGTCACATGCATGCCAACCCACCCACAACGCTGTTCTTCCCCCTTCCTCAGGACCACCACAGGGCCCCAGAGAACACTGAGGGCCTGACACATTTAAGAAAACAACAACCATCTCAGACAATATCCTAATAGATGGGACAAAGTGACTCTGAGTCCCAATTCATAAGAAACATACAGAGAGGCACGTGTTCACAAAACCCAGCTTGCAGGGACGGCTCCGTGGTCAAGCGCATGCCTAGCACCGTGAGGCCATGGGTTCACCAGCACCAACAAACATTACAATCAACACGTGCTTTGCACCAGCAAGACGCACACCATGTGACACTACAGTGAACTGAACACCTGGTTTCTTCACCAAATTGCAACGAAAAAAAAAAAACACCAAGATAAAAGAGAACCTGAGAAGAAAAGCTACGCAGGACCCGCACAGCCAACTGCAGCAGCCTGCGTCACACGACCCCATCACAGCAAGACGCCAACAGAAACAGACTGTTCAACACTCTCAGAAATCTGAACATCGACCATCAGCCTGAAGAGTGGAGAATGAGCTGTGATGGCAGGAGCACTCTGATTTTACAAGTCTCCCCCTTGGAGAAATATATGCTAAGTAAGATATTCGTGGATGGAAAAAAGATACTCAACTTGGATTCAATAAAGCTGTGGCTGACCTTCAGGTACAGGGAAGACGAAGGACACAGTGTGGGGGACAGACCCTGGTGGGCTGGGAGAGGCCCTGAGGAGACACAGCTGCAAGGCTCCCCAGGCTGACCAAGCCACTTTAAGAGGCATTTAAGAGAAGTGTGACATCGGGCAGTACGGAGGCATTAATGTTGATGGTTTCAGAGGGGTTGTGTGACATGGGAGCGGGAAGACACATGCCCCCTGGCAAGAGGGCTGGACACACAGAGAACCATCGGCCACTCTGTGACAGGGGCTCCACCTGGCATGAGGGCTCCTCTCTACGTCCCACTTCTGTGAGTTTCACATTGTCATCACAGACACTCGAAAGGCTTCTTTGCTGGCTTCCCACTCAGGGAGCAGTGGGAACACAGAGGTGACAGATTCTCGCTCTCTGGTGAGGACAGCGACTGTGACCGGGGTATCTCAGGTCTCTCCCAGGGCTTCCACGGGTGGCGTGGGTGGTGCTTCCGAACCTGCTGGCTGCCAGCACTGCTGTCCGACACACAGGCCGCCTCCTTCCTTTGGCACTTTTGTTTTTTAAGGAAGTGGTATCATTACTTGGATCCTTGGAAAATTAACGTCACTGGCCATAGGGGTACCTAAAAACAGTGTCACGCTCAGCCCTCTGTATCTGTTTCTGCCGTTCAACCAAACGACACAATGCGACAACCACTGACAGTGCCCAGACACGGTACTAGGTGTTGGTAAGTTCCCTGCAGATGTTTACAGTCCACAGAAGGGGACTAGGGGTGTATCTCAGGCTAGAGCACTTGCCTAGAAGGCATGGAGCCACGGGTTCCATCCCTGGCACCCCCCAAAATGAAACAAATGTAAGCGCCTACAGAAGAGTGCGCTCAGGCTCTGCACACACTCCGCCCTTTAATAAGGGTCTTGAGCATCTTTCCATTTTTGGCCTCTTCAACGAGTCCTGGAACCAATGTGGATGCCAAGGGGTGGCTGAACTGTCATGTGTTCAACTGTTAGTTCAACCTCCGACCCAAGTAGTACCAGGAAGCACGCTGCCCTGGGGCTGGGCATCCCGACTTCACAGGACAGGTGTGGCCCCTGACCTTCAGATGCCCGTGCGCAGACGCAGAGACACCGCGCAGCCGCGCAGGGTGCTGCACAACAGTGAGCTCTGTGGTCCTGGTCAGCAGATGAGGAACGGCAGGGAAGGGCGTCTGGGAGAGCTGAGTTTGGTGGGCGCAGGTGGTAGCCCCCCTTAAGAGAGGACATGGAGAGTGAGTAACCCATGCTGGGCACGTCGGAGTGAATTTCTTCTGGTTAGTTTTACATGTCAACTTGGATCTTACCAAAGGACCTGTATGGACCCAGATCAGGTGGCCTGTGGCATGGAGAGATCCTTTCAATAGTGTTTACAAATGAGTAAGCTGGAAAGAGAAACCCGTGGCAGGCTGGCGGTCTCTAGGCGTTTCTGGGATTTGTGAAATTCCACTTAAACCCCTTCAAAGAAATCCTGGCACTTTGATGGAATCAAAGGTCACCGGAGGCTGGGTCAGCTGTCCCCATGGGTGGGTGGGGCCATGCCCTTTGTTCACACCTCCATGGCAGTGGTTATGTTGGGCTCACTGTGATGAAGTGACAGGCTATTAATGGCTCCCTTTCTTTCCTGGACCCAAGAGCTCACGGAGGGCAAAGGCCCAGCTGATTAATTTCTTGGTCTGCCTCAGCCCCCACCCAGCACCAAGTCTAAAGCAGGTGTCCTGTGACAATGCCAGCTACATGTATCCCACAAGTGTGCAGAGCCTCAGGACAGAAGCTGCGACACCCAAGCCTCGAGCCCCGTGGTCCACCGTGGGCCATCCGGACTGCACAGCCTTACCCATTTTGTTTTTTTGGGAATCCAGGCCCAACACTTAAAAATGGGGGAGCTTCCACACCAGCTTCTCTGGAAAATTGACTGACTTGGCAACTCGGGGGCCTGCACGTCCCCATGGCAACAGCAGTGTGAACGCTTTCTGAGCTTCTGCAGAGCCCAGCGCTATTCTCAACACTCTGTGTGGATGCATTCATCTTCTGGAACGTTCCACGTGCTCACACCATTATTATTCTGACTTTTCACAAGGGATCCAGGGCTTGTCCAGGGTCACACAGTTTAGGTGCTGGAGGCAGGGTGGAAGCCCAGGCAGTCCCAGTCCCAAGGACCCAGTTTAACCCTCCCCAAATGCAAAGCCCACCAGGAGGAGTACAGACCCTACTCCTTCTTTATGGACTGTCTGGGAGCTAAACCCACCACACCTCATGAGGCAGTTTACCCCCCAAGTGCCAGGGGCAGGGCAGCAAGATACTGCAGTGACTGCCTCTCTTCACTCAAAGAGCTCACCAGTTCCTCACTCAGGTTCATCCCCTCCAATCTGTATCCAGTACAGCCTCACCTGAGGTGGGAAGGGACAGTCTTACCCATACACACACACACACACCGTGGGGGGGACACTCACGATGCGCTCAAACTCCTTGGCCTGCTTCAGCTCCCGGGGAAAGCCATCAATGAGGAAGCCCCGGCTCTCTGGGTGGGACAACATATTCTTGCTGATCATGTCTAGGATGAGGCCCTGGGAAGAAAGTGGGAGAAGTCAGTGCTTGGGCCCCAGTCTCTACAATGGTCGTTCCTTAGTTGGGACTTTAGGTGAGGATGGGGAACACAATGTTCCACACTGCCCTGGGTTTTCTTTTCTTACTTTCCTCCTCCACCAACGCCCCCAGCCCTGTGCTGGAAATGGAACCCAGGGCCTTGCATATGCTAGGCAAGTGCTCTGCCACTGAGCCACACCCCCAGAACTAAATTGCTAGGGTTTTCTTCGTTTTGCTTTTGCTTTTTTGAGAGAGGGTCTTATACCCTGAATTCCAAGTCAGCTCTGATCCCTGGGGAAACAGTTTTCACTCTTTCCTTTTTACTTTTTGCTGTAATAGGACTTGACACAGGGCCTCGCACACGCCAGGCAGGTGCTGTACCACTGAGCCACACCCCCAGCCCAGAGGAACGGGGTCTGAGAACTGGGCACGTCAACCATGTGCTGAGTGAGTGTCTGCCAGGGGTAGGCTGCCATTTAATCTTTACTGTGATGCTATAAGGTAGGTGCCAGGATTACCTTTCTTTTACAGTTTATGACACACTTTCAGAAGAGGCCAGTGACACGGGGTTACAAAGAGAATAAACATTGTGGTCCTTTAGTACACAAAGGGAATTGGTTCCAGGGCCTCCACAGACACCAAAACCCAAGAATGCCCCAGCCCCTTGTGCAAAATGGTATAGCATTTGCACAGAGCTCAAGCACAGCCTACTGTAGACCTGAGGTCATGTCTAGACACACCAGGTGAAGACTGAGAGAACAGCTGGTAAGACAGTGTTGTTTAGAGAACGCTGACACGAAAAAAAGGCCTACTTATCTTCAGCAACTTCTTCCTGAATATTTTTGATCCACAGTTGTTGGAAACTATAGATGTGGAGTCTGCTGTCACAGCTGATTTTATTAAATGATTCTTAGGTACCAGGCACACTTCCCAGCACTTTATAGGAATGATCTCTTCCCTACTCACCACGACATTTTTGGGGGTGCTGCTGGGGAGCGAGCCCAGGGTCTTGTACATGCTCAGCACTCTCTACCACTGAGCTGTACCCCAGGCCTTGACACAGTTGTTGATGTAGTCTCCCCATTTCCCAGATAGGAGGCTCAGCATAGCAAACCAGTGGCCCAGGCAGGAGCCACAGCCTTCCCAGAGTTTGCCCTGATGTCCACCCCCACCTCCTCTTCCCATGAGCTCTCACCGAGGGTACCAGAAGTCCCTGCAGCATCATGTCACGGATCTGTCGGCCCCGATGGGTGCTTTTCTGGGCCTCCTGCCACAGCAGCTGACCCAGCCCCACATGGCAGAAGCCATACTTAGTGGCCATGTTCTTGCACTGTGTCTCTTTGCCACAGCCTGGGCCACCCACCACAAAGATGATCAAGGAAGACTTGAGGATGTCTGTGGTGCCCAGGAGGAGGAGGAGCAACATGGTGAGTGCCTGCAGGGACCAGCTGGCACCGATGGGCTTGTGTCCTCAAGCTAGTGTGTGCCTTTGGATGACACAGATCTCGGGGCATAGCCTCTTTTGGCATAGGGGAGCCTTGGGGGCACATGTCTGTTCCCAGTGGTTCGTCTAGGAGTGCTGTGCAGCCATGCAGGAGTGAGGATCTGGGCCTACACAGGCAAGGCCCTGGGTGCACGGCATCTTGGGGAAGCGTTCCGTTTTTACAATTGAGGAAACTGAGGCTCAGAGAGGGGCAGGAATTCACCTATGCCTTCAGACTCGTGCCATGCTATGTGCCTAGTGTCCTTGTATTTGTTCCTGAACTTGCCAAATTCATTTCTCCTTGCTGTTCCCTCCACCAGGAAAATCTCTGCCTATCTCAATTTCCTCTGGTCATAGCGTAATCATCAGGTCTTCCCTGATGCCTGTCTAAAGAGACTTCTCTGTCTTAGAAACCCAGTCATGTCTTTCCCTGTCATGTACTTGGTTTTGTGTCCCTAGCCAGCCTCTGTACTCCAGGAGGGCAAGGGCCGTTTGTCTCACCCATCCCTATGTTCCCACCAATTGTCATGGTTCCTGGCATCTAGTAGTGGATGGGGAATAAATGAATGTCCAGTCAGTGGTTTATGGTTCATTTTTGTGTCTTGCTTCCCTACCCCTTTGCTTAGCCAACTCCTATGCATCCCTCAGTGCCCAGTTGAAATTACCCCTTTTCCCTCTGCCATCAGAGCCTCACAGTGCTTCCCCTGTTGCCTCCTTGGGTGTAGATTCCATTTTTCTGAGTCTGTCTCTTCTGCTACATTGTAATCTCCAAGGAGACAAATAACTGGTTTAACCTTGAGGGCCCAGAACTCAGAAGGCACACTATTTCCGAAATGGCTCAGTGAGTGAATGACTGGGAAGATGTGCAGCTTTGTTACTGCCGTGACTGGGAGGGGTGTACACACGGGATGGCGGGGAACCTGCACCTCTCTTCTGCCCTCTAGTCTCCTTCCCCCCCGCCCCCGCCCCAGTAACCCAGCTACCCCCGCGATATTACCCTTCTCCTGGGGCCTCAACGGCCTGGCCATCTGGGGCAGCTTGGACTTGTACAAACCCATCCTGCCAGCATCCCTTGGGGTTGTCGCACCCCATCCCCACCCACTCGCTGACCCCTCTGGGCTCTGCTCTACGTCACAAGGCCCTCCCTGCCCCCGATTACTTTGCCGGATGCTGGAGATTCCCCTTACACACCGGGGCAGGGGGAGGAAATGAGCCCTCAACAGTCCCAAGCAGAGCCTGGCTGCTGCCTGACCGACCAGGCGAGCCTTGGTTGCTATGGTGACGCGGCCTCCTGGCCCCCATTTCCGGAGCGCGGCGGCGCATGCGCGAAGCACCCGGGACCCGCGAGACGTTTCCTCCCAGCTTACCCAGGGTGCCCCGCGGCCCCTGGCTGTGACATTACGGAGGAAGGCGTTTCCACACGTCGTGGTTAAATTATCCGCGTCGTACACAAGCATGTCTGCCACCGAAAGCGGCTTATTTGTCTCACAGTGGGCCTGGGTGTGTTGAGTCTGAGATGGGATGGGGAGGGGAAAACACAAACGATAGTTTTGACTACCCACAACCCTGGAGGATGGTGCCGTCGGTCAGCAGCGGACTTCCGCTTCCGGCCGGGCTGCGGCGCGTGCGCAAAATGACGTGGGGAGGGTTACTTCCGGGTGTTTTTTTCCCAGGGCCCGCGGGGCGTAGTGCTTGCAGTCTTCGCTGTCCTCTCTCGGAATCGGAAGCCTGATACCTAGAGTGCGGCTTGCTCGAGACTAAGGGACGCGGGCCCCGCGCCAGACGAACAGAATCCACATCGGACTGGACCCGACCCACTGACCATGGCGGCCCTGGTGAGTACGAATGAAGCAGGGTTCGGGGGTCCCGGCTGCGGCCTGGCTAGCGGCCCCTCACTCACCATCCTGCCTCCTCTCCGCAGGGTCCCGGCGCTCCGAATGTCACCGAGTATGTTGTTCGAGTTCCCAAGTAAGTCCCTGGCCCTGCCCACCCCGAAAAAAAAAAAAATCGAAACCTTAGCGAGCTTCCAATCAGCTACTTTGTTCTGTTTGAAACTGGTTAAATCTTTGTACATACTGTCCCCTCTGCCACTAGTGTCCTTCCATACCAACTGTGATTCCATCCTGTAAAATTCAGTTCCAGCATTTTCCTTCTCCAGGAAGCATTCCCTGCCTGTGCTCCCTCCTCACTAGGCCAAGTTCTCAGTTATCCCCCACATCTTGGGTTCCCCCAAATCTTTGTTATTCCTCATCTTTTTGAGATTGGGAGGAGATGGATCCAGCTTCCATGACAAAGTGGGGATCCTTGGAGTCTTTCATATGTTCTCAGCACTGTGCAGCACAAAGAGCTGAACCAGGTGGGTTTGCTGAATGACTAATTGAATTAGCACTGCCTTTTTTGCCCCCTCCAGGAACACAACCAAAAAATATAACATAATGGCTTTCAATGCAGCTGATAAAGTCAATTTTGCTACATGGAATCAGGTAAGTCTCTGGTTCTGGGAAGTGGTGGAAGATTAGAGAATCTGACCTTAGACTCAAGGATGGTTATGGTTGTTTAGCTGTAATGGTAACTAAGGTGCCAGAGGCAATGGTACACACCTATAATTCCAGCTACTGCCAAGTCCAAGCCTGGAGAATCATAAGTGTAAGGCCAGCCTGGGAGGCCTTAGTAGGTGTCTCCATTATCAGATCAACTGATCTGATATCTCAGTGCTTGTGTTCCAGTAACCCTTCTTTTACTAAGAACTCAAAAGCACAAGATTAGTGATGCTGGAAAGTTGGATATGTCAAAGGCATAAAGTGCCTCTTTTAAATGAAAAGAGGAAAGTACAAGGTATTTTGAGAGAGTCTTACAACTTTCATTGTAATATATTATTATCATCGTACTGTTTAATAAGTAGTTGTTGTTGTTGTAAGTGCCAAATTCCCTTTACCCAGATTCATCAAGTGCTAGCTAGCATCCTGAGCTCTTTTTGCTAAGAGGGAAGTTGGCTTTGAGCACCTGGAGTACAGTGTAGTGAGAGTTAGGGGTGTTCCTCACAGGAGCACGGCCCAAGCCAAGGTGGGCCCCTGAGAGACTTTTCTTCCTTCTCCTCCAGGCCCGGCTAGAGAGGGACTTGAGTAACAAGAAGATTTACCAGGAGGAGGAGATGCCTGAGTCGGGTGCAGGCAGTGAGTTCAACCGCAAGCTTCGGGAAGAGGCTCGTCGGAAAAAGTACGGCATCATCCTCAAGGAGTTCCGGCCTGAGGACCAGCCCTGGCTCCTACGTGTCAATGGAAAATCAGGCAGAAAGTACGTGGCAGCCGGGGAAGTGTGCCAACCTAGGGACCACCCCCCCACACACTGTGCACTTGTTGGGTGCCTCCTCTGAACCTCAGTTCCCCAGCTGTGTGAGATAACCGTGCCTGCACTTCCTCCCTTATTTTGTTTTTGAACATGTTGTACTTATGCCTGCTTCTGTGGCAGCCCTGAGGGCCATCAGTGGCACTTGTCTCTTGTGATGACCTTTTGGAAAGGGCATTCTGGGGCAGAGCAGGAAGGGTGTTGCAGGTTGGCGCAGGCATTCCAGGTAGAACTGGGTTGTGCAGGGTTCTGGGTGCCCAGGGGAGCCTTGAATAGTTATAGGCTGGGAAAGGACTCAGAGCAAGATTGCCTGGATTTGGGATAACAGCAAGTAAGGGTGGAGGCCATGGGCAGTTGTTTGGGCTCAAGGAGATGGTGGCCTGGGTTGAGTGTCCACTTCAGATCTGCTCCAGTCTGGCTTCTTGAGTTCCTGGTCATAGCCCATGCGACAGAGCCATAAGTGATTGTTGCATAAGCCCAATATTGAACTTGCTTTACTAAGAGGGAGCGCTGTCCCTGCCCTCCAGCTGGGAAAATCGAAGCTGGGTTCATCTGGGCTTGCCCAGGGCTTGCCATGGGCTTTCCCCAGGTGCTACAGAGGAGGCACACAGGGAGGCACGTGCAGGCCGCAGGCAGGTCCTGTGCACCTGTTTCATGGGCCAGGCCATGACCTGACTGTGGCTCCCTGCAGGTTCAAGGGCATAAAGAAGGGAGGAGTGACGGAGAACACATCCTACTACATCTTCACCCAGTGTCCTGACGGAGCCTTCGAGGCCTTTCCTGTGCACAACTGGTACAATTTCACACCACTGGCTCGACACCGCACGCTCACTGCTGAGGAGGCTGAGGAGGAGTGGGAGAGGTGAGCTGGCAGGGGCCGGGAGGTGCTTCCCTAGCAGCAGGCCAAGCTGTGCTGGAGTCTGGGCACTCGACGGACCAAGGCAGTGCCCACCCGCCCACATAGAGCTCTCAGGGAGATATGGACCCTTGAGAGCTGGTGAACCTGGTGCAGGAGGTGGCAGAGCAGCGTGGGGCCAGCTGGCAGCTGCGGGGTTAGCTGCCTTGGTGGGTCTCTTTCACGTGCCACTGCAAGGGGACCTTTACAAGGGGGCTCAAAAGGGGCCTCCTGATGCAGCCATGGCATTTCTGGCCTTGGAAATGGGGACAGCACAGGTACAGTTGTGGGGCCAAGGACATGGCAAAACAAGCTGGAGCACAGTGATTGTGGGGAGAGCTGGGAACATGGGCCTTGCAGTCCTAGCTGAAGATCTGACATTCCTGGGTCACTGCAGCCTTGGGGCATCCATTTGGTGCAGGAAGGCGCTGTGGGCATGTCTGCAAAACTCTTGTCTGCGTGTGTCACAGAGTGGCAGGAATGGCCCAAGGAATCACAGCCCTCAAAGGGCTGAAAGACATCCTCCCTTCCTGGCCCCACCTTTGTTTAGTCATTTCCTTGAGTTGAAATTTTCACATTGGGCCAAGATTAGCTTAGCTCCAGTCCCCTTCTCCCCTGGGTTAGCCTCTGGCCTGGGATCCTCTGCCCGCTACTGTCTGTGCCTTGCTCTGCTTCTTGACCCCCTGAGGCTTTACTGTGGCCCTGGGCAGGCACCCCCTGTGGTGCTCTCTGCTTTCCTCTCTGTTTGTGATATTGTCTTTAGAATCTGCTTTCACAGCTTCCAGGAGAAAAGTTTGTTGTTTTAATGAGTCAAAGCAGGAGGGATGTGCCATCTCTGGATCACAAGTTCAATCTGCTTAGCCAACAAGCATTGTTGTGCTTCCCTAGCAGCAGGCCAAGCTGTGCTGGCACGTGCAGGCCACAGGCAGGTCCTGTGCACCTGTTTCATGGGCCAGGCCATGACCTGACTGTGGCTCCCTGCATGTTCAAGGGCATTTTTTAAATTGTAAATTGTTATATATGACAGCAGAATGCATTACGATTCATATTACACATATGGAGCACAATTTTTCATATCTCTGGTTGTATATAAAGTATATTCACACCATTCGTGTCTCCATACATGTACTGAGGGTAATGACGTCCGTCTCATTCCACCATCTTTTTTACCCTCTTGCCCCCTCCCTTCCCCTCCCTCCCCTTTGCCCTATCTAGCGTTCCTTTAATCTTCCCATGCTCCCCCTCCCAACCCCAGCCTCCTATGAATCAGCCTCCTTATATCAGAGAAAACATTTGGCATTTGGTTTTCTGGGATTGGCTAACTTCACTAAGCATTATATTCTCCAACTCCATTCATTTACCTGTAAATGCCATGATTTTATTTTCTTTTATTGCTGAGTAATATTCCATTGTGTATATATGCCACATTTTCTTTATCCATTCATCTACTGACAGCCATCTAGTTTGTTTATATAGTTTCTTGAGGGCCTTGAGGGCCTCAGGCCAAGGGACTGGGGACACCTATTTTTACTCAGCTTTTTTTTTTTTAATTATTATGTTTAAAATTTGTTCTATTTAGACACATGTGACAGTAGAGTGTTACTCATCTTTTTCTGATGTGCAGACAGGCACATTAGAAGCAGAAGTCAGGACATTTGGTCAGCACACTCATCAGTCTTATTTATTTATTTATTTTTCCGGGGCAGGGGCGGGGATCAGGGGATAGAACTCAGGGATACTCGATCACTGAGCCACATCCCCAGCCCTATTTTGTATTTTATTTAGAGACAGGGTCTCACTGAGTTGCTTAGTGCCTCACTTTTGCTGAGGCTGGCTTTGAACTCGCGATCCTCCTGCCTCAGCCTCCTAAGCCACTGACATTATAGGTGTGTGCCACTGCACCTGGCCTGTTTTGTTTTGTTTTTAAGGACAGTCACACTGTTTAACAATGGTCACCACCAGTCATCTACAGAATTTTACCATCTTCCCAAACTGAACCCCATCCAACACTAACTCCCCAGTGCCTGGTACCAGC